ATTACACCCTAGGCTAAAACAGTTACTATGTGTTGTTTATGTAAATACTTGATAAATTTGTTTTCAAAATTGAAGTAGCCCTTTTGAAACTTAATTTTGATCTGCAGCTTCTCTGTAATTATTTCAAAATAAAAAGTTTGGCTCCTCCCCTCCCCTCCCATCCCCTCCCCTCCTAAAAAGAACCCAAATGTTATTACAGGGTAGGGGGTGGTGGATGGGCTCAGTAACCCTGAAGGTCCCTCCAGATGATTCTCAGATGATTCTCACAATGAGGATAAGTTGCTGATGGCAGCCACACCCAGGATTCTGGGGATTCACTCCAGATAAACACTGAACTTCTGTGCCATCTCTCCAGCCCCCACCCCCCAGGTTAGAAATCTTAATTTTAAAACTTAAAATTTCCCCTTAATTATTTCTTGGTCTTTGGGCTGCACTCAGCAGTGCTCTAGACCTACAGCAGAGGGCACGGGGACTCCCGGGCCTCCCTCCTGAGGGCGTTGGGCCGCCCTTGTGTTCTCCATGGCCGCTGCGGATTCTGGCTTTGTTCTCTACAGTAGTTACTGTTTCTCGGGGTCTGAGCAGTCAGACAAGGTTTGTTGAGAGTGCGCCGTTGCGCCCGTTTGTGACCTGAGACAGCCTTGTCCTGTAGTGGATGGGGTCCTGGCCGGCCCCCCCTCGCACTATCTCCAGCCCTGCACCTCAGCATTTACGCCTCAGCCTGACACTTTGTCAAATGAGATAGAATGTGGTTCAAGTTCCACTTCTGTTACTTACGTAAAGTAGACTCTGGGCAGACTTTTCGTCATTTCCTCAGTCTATGAATGAACATTATACAGACTTCCTGCTTGATTGTTCCAAGGATCCATCAGTTGTTGGCCTAGTGGTGAGATGGCTGGTTTGTTTGTAATACTTGACTATCTTGAAGATCCCAGTTACTTGAGTATTTTCCTTATTGTTTTCTCTAGAATATTGTATTTACTAATGTTCGTCTTCTAGTCTCAGTCAGAACGCTGGTGTTTCGTGGTTTTGGGGGGCGGGCAGTGAGGGCGAGAAACGGAGTGCTTGGGCTGGATCCTGGGCTCGTGCCTGTTAAGGCTTGTGGGGCCTTGAGCTCATCTCTTCACTCCTCCTTTCTCTGTTGCCCTTCATATACTCAGTGTTCACTGTCACTGTCACTGTCCTCCTGTTCATCGATTTGCTCGAGCGGGCCCAGTAACGTCTCCATCGTGAGACTTACTGTTACTGTGTTTGGTGCATTGAATACGTCACGGGGAGCTTGTCAGGCTTTGTCGTGTGGGCGAGATACTCTCGGTAGCTTGCCGGGCTCTCCGAGAGGGGCGGAGGAATCGAACTCATCGAACTCGGGTCGGCCATGTCGGCTGCGTGCAAGGCAAATGCCCTACCGCTGTGCTATCGCTCCAGCCCAGTGTTCACTAAATTTCTCAAAGCCAGACTTACCTCCTTGAAGCTTTTGTACTTTTTTTTGGTTTGTTCTTTTGGGGGGTTGTGGGGGAGGGTTGGTTTTGTTTGGTGCCGCACCTGGCTGTGCACAGGACTTGCTCCTGTCCTCGGAGGTCTCTCCTGACAGGGCTCAGGTGGACCATAAGGGGCACCAGAGATCTAACGGAGATCAGCTGTGTGCAAGGCAAGTGCTGTAACCCCTGGACTGTTTGCAAGGCAAGTGCGATAACCCCTGGACTGTTTTTCTGCCCCCCCCCCCCGAAGCTTTCTCTGAGAATTTTCTGCACCCATTTGTATGATATATTTAATATCTTATTTAGGTCTCATTTTATCTCAGTTTTATAGGCAAAATTTGGTCGCTGTCATCCAAGCTCTGTGCCTCCCTCCATGTGACTTGATTCTTCACATCCGTTGAATAGGAGCAGTTCTGTCTTTCCTCCTAAGACCAGACAGTTCATTCAGCACTTAGTTTCTACTTACTGCATATTTGTATTTGATGTTAGCCTGTAGTCTTTATGTATTACCCGAGGACATAGCCGTCAGCAGTTTAGGTTTTTTTGAAGGTTTATTTTAAATAGTCTGGCTAATACAGTGTTTACATCCAGTTTTTAAGGGAAAGGAAATCTTCCAGTTCTTTCTACATAGTATATGTGCATACGCACGGCGCGCGCGCGCGCGCGCGCACGCACACACACAGAGTCACAGATTAACCCAGGGGACCAGGGGTAGAGTAAGTGGTAAACACCTTTAAATGGAAAAGTAAGGCATAGGCTTGTCTTTGTCTCTTAGAGCCACTGCTGTTCAAGGGCGGGAGGAAAGTCAAGGAGCTTCCTCTGGCTTTCTCTGGGAACCTTGGGTTTGAATCGGGGCCAGATAAGAATTAGAGTGTTACCTTACAGAAAGCTTTAGCCTCCTTTTCATATGTGAAGTCACCTTATTTTTTTGAGATAAGTTCAAAAAGTGAATTTTATTATTGTTGCTACCTGTTTACTGTTTTCTTTAGGAACAAAAAGTTCAGTGGGAGTGAATTGAATTTTTTAAAAGGTGCATATCACTTTGTGAAAATCTATTCCTTAGACATGTAAACTTTCCTGCTTTCTCTTACTACAAAGATTAGGGCCTTCCTTAGGGTTTTTGTTTGAAAACTCTGGGTGTTTGCTGCCTGCACTGGTAGACCTCCTGTGAGGAGGACAGATATGTCCTGAGCTGAGCCTCATCTTTTCTACTAACCCTGTTTTTTTGTGCTTTATCCTCACTGTAACTGGTTTTCATTTTCAGAGCTGGGTCAGACCCTTTTCCTAAGAAGCATTTAAGTATATGTTATCAAACTAGTTTTACCACTGTTTTGGGAAGCTAAAGTTACGAAAGCCTTCGAAGACATGTTGAGTCATGAGGATAAAATATAAAAATGTGTAGGTTCTCATAGCAGCTAGAAATAGCATTTCTAATTGGCAGAAACGGTGGTCGAAAGGAATACATTTTATGCATCATAGTATCTTTTTGTTTTCTTTTAATCACCATGAATTACAGTTAGAAAGATATTTATAATTGAGTGCTTCATGGTATTTTTAAACATAAAAATTTTGTTTTATTCTCCAGTCTATTAATATTGTATCTTTAAAAGCATACCTTGGTTTGAATTGTGCTGTTGGCATCACAGGTACAGAAAGGAGTGACAACTTGTACTTTTTTTTTAACATTTATTTTTTAGAATGAAAAAGTTCAAAGTTAAAATGTTCAGATTTCTCCCTCCACTTAACGAAAAAAGAATTTTGAGGAAATGTTTGGCAATTTCAGAAGAAATCATTCTTTGTTGCCACATCTACCATTCTCCCTCAGCTAAAGCATTTTTCTTTTCCTGGTTTTGTAGGTTAGAAACAAATTCCAGTACCATTCATTGATATATTCTTGAGGACAGTATAAAGAACTTACATATTGATTGGATTCACATTTCCGTCAACTAAAAGTTTTCTTGTTTTGGACTATTCTAATTCTTAAGCTTGTGGCTTATTTGGCTTTTTGTTTGTTTGTTTTTCGCATCTTTAGTTTCCTTCAAGTTACTTTAGTATGTCATTCTCCTGGGGTACTGTGTTAAAGTTGGAAATAATTTAAAATGACTTCTTAGAATGTAATGACCATAGGGAAAATACTTGACAGATTTTAGGGAATGGTCGACTTTAGGAGCCAGAGTGATGTTCAGTGGACAAGGTGCTTGCCGGAGTGCAGCCGACTCAGATTGGCTTCTGGCACCACACACGGTTTCCTGTGCCCTGCCAGGAGTGATCCCTGAGTGATCCCTGGAATAAACCCTGAACTACCGGGTATGACTCAAAAAACAAATGAGCAAAAGAAGAGAAAAATACCACGTGACTTTATACAAATCTAAAATTGTGTCACCACTTTTAGATGCTGAAATTTTATGAGAGTGGTTCTTAAAGTGTGGTCCGTAAACGCTCAGAATCCGTGCAGTCCAGACGCTGCACAGAGGCTCAGGCTCTACACCAGACCTCTCTATCTGATAAGTTTTGGCAGACCCTCCAGGGAATTTTGTGCAGAATCACTCAGATGTGATTTGAGAGCCACGTAGCGTGATAGCATCTTGCAGAAAGCTGTTCTCAGCTTTTATTTTCAAGCTGATGATCTATGGTGGCCATAGGATGCAGCTCCGTGGCTGGACAAACGTCTTGGATTTGATTCTTAGGACCCTTTTTTCCATCCCCACCTCCTAAAAGTTACATTTTTTTTTCTAATATGACTGTGCGTTACTTTTTCATTATGACTTTTGAGTAAAATGTTGGTTTTGTCTTCATCAAATACTTCACTGATTTTTACAGTATTTTAATGGTAAATAAAAGAAATTTCCTTTTTTGTCTTTTCAGACTAGGACACCTGTTAGTTTTAGATTAGGTAAAGATACCACATTTTAAATTTGTAGTCGTTTTTTAAAAAAATATCAGTTTCTTGTCTTGATTGCTTGCAGCATAAATACCATTGAAAAGTGACTGGAGTATGTGACTGCTCTAAATTTATTTTTAGCAGATCAAAAGGAATGAGTACTTCGACTCACTTTCTCGGAGTCACCCTTGACACTTCCGAGATGCCTCAAAAGGAGCATTTTTTTGCTTGTTTCATTTGTAAAACACATTTGCCTTTGAAAGTATGTCTTCAAGTTAAGACTTTCAGGACTATTTTGCTGAATTAGTAATACCCTAGCATTGCCTCCTGTTGAGACACACAGACTAATCATGGTGCTTTCATTGGCAACTCTTTGATAATGATTCAAATGAATATGATGCTGTTGAAAAGTAGTCCAGTACATGGTTTAGCTGATCATTGATAGGTTGGCCCATCTCTTCAATCCCGAGCATGGACCACATCTCTCTTAGAGTTCTGAGTTTGATTGGATTATCCTATATTTTGTTAATGATGACTGTCCCTGATATTATTAAATTATAAATTAATTTAATTGATTTTATACTATTATACAAAATCAGTATTCTTTGTATTTATTTTACATTTGATTATTTTTTAAATTTCAGGATGGTGAGGAAGAAGAAAATGAGAAAGGTATGTTTAATGCTAAGTAGAGTTTAAGAATGGCTGATGTTTAGAAAAACAGTAAATTTCATGAAGTAACTAATTTTTGAAATGCATTTGCTTTTAAAGTTATTTAGTGAATTAAGTTAGCATCTTTAGAATTTTTTTTAGTTGATTTCAGTTTTCATTTTAACTTAAAATATATTCTAACTTAATAGTGCATATCAGTTACTGTAGTGAACAACACCATTTTAAAAATTTAACCCAGTTTTAATTTATTATTAAGAAAAACTTAGCATACGGTAAGTTAATTGCATTCTTAAGACTGGCACTGCAGTAACTCATACGTGCTTATATTATGGATAATGGATTTTACTGCTGGTTCAAAAAAAATGGTGGGCAACCAGGAGACTGACTTTTCATTTGCCACTTGGAGGAATTGACGATCTTCTGACAGTCCTAGCACTGTAGCAGAGCAGTCTCGTCCAGTACGGCCACAGAGATGCCAGTAGCAACACTTGTGGTCAGCACAAGACTACGGAAGAGCTTTTGGACAGAAGCCACAGGATTCTGCACTGGACTTGGAAGGACGTGGAGCCGGGTTCTGAGCACAGCGCCATGAAAACCCTGGAGACAAGAAGAAGCCAAGCCACTGACTGAAAGCCTCCCAGGCCCGAGGCCGCTGTGTTGTGGGGGAACGCAAGTCATCTTCGGAATTGGCCATTCCGGGACTGGCTGGACTGGATGAAGACTGGAAGCAGCCCATTTCCTGGACACTGGGGAGCAGTTCGCCTGCGGAGCCTCCGGTCGCCGTGTGTTATGAGTCTGGACGGCACAGGAACTGACCCAGAAGACGGAAGATGAGGGGCCCGGAAATGCCTGGAAGGCCGATCGAGACCCTCAGACTGTGACCTTTGAAGACATCATCATGGGAATTCCTGAAGGCCACAGGGTAAAATCCCACAATGGGAACACTGAATAACAAATCTGCACACTTGTCTCTCTCACGGAGGAAAAAAGTCTTCTCTGTGCCATTAACTTACAACCAGAAACGAAGAGCTGATCTCCCCAGATTGGAACCACTTTCCCCCTTCCTTGTTTGGTATTTGTGTGTAAGAGGTCATGTTCTCCATGAAGAATGAGTGATCCGGGGTACAGGATTGTTTCTCTCAGTTAATACCCTTGTGTTTCTTTCCCCTAACCTTCCATCAGTGCTAATAACTGGCTTTCTATTTTCTAGGTCCTTTTCTAGCTTATGAATATGAAATTGTTTAAACTTCTTGTTTTGCCGTATTTATTCCTGTTAAATCCTCTTAGATATAGCAGGTTCTGGTGATGGTACACAAGAAGTATCTAAACCTCTTCCTTCAGAAGGGAGCCTAGCTGAGGCTGATCACACAGCTCACGAAGAGACGGAAGCTAATGCAACTGTGCGAGAAGCTGAGGATGACAACATCTCGGTCACAGTCCAGGCTGAAGACGCCATCACTCTGGATTTTGATGGTGATGACCTCCTAGAAACAGGTAAAAATGTGAAAATTACAGATTCCGAAGCAAGTAAGCCAAAAGATGGGCAGGCCCCCATCGCACAGAGCCTGGAGAAGGAAAGCAAGGACTGCGAGATGAACGCGAACCATAAAGATGGTAAGAAGGAAGACTGCGTGAAGGGGGACCCTGTCGAGAAGGAAGCCAGAGAAAGTTCTAAGAAAGCAGAATCTGGAGACAAAGAAAAGGATACTTTGAAGAAAGGGCCCTCGTCTACTGGGGCCTCTGGTCAAGCAAAGAGGTTTGTTTTCTATGTCAGTTCTTTACGATACTGAATTCCAGCATTCAGTAAGATCACTCTACATTAAGGGGGTGGCTTCAAGACCCTGTACAGTAATTAGTCCTTATGATCCTGCCTATAATATTTTTGACCGTCATAAGTTACTTTAAAAAAAAAATTCAAGATCTTCGTAATATGCAGTGTGTCCTGATTGCATTGTCGAATTGTCAGCATACATTTGGTTTTTTTGGTTTTTGTTTTTTGGTTTTTGTTTTTGTTTTTTCCAAAATTGACAATATTTTTGTGTTTTATTTTTAAAAATCCTTGTGATGATGGTTAATGAACAACTATCAGTCCTAAGAACACAAAATGAAGTCAAGTCCCAGTCCTGAAATCTGGAGAAGATGGCCATATATCCACTGAATAGAATTGTCAGAAAAATCTAGATCTTCAGGCATCTTGGGGAAATCAGTGCAAGAATCTTAAGGGAACCATTGGTTCAAATAACCTATTCTAGGCCTCTGCAATTTCTAATTTGTATAAATAGCGGTAGTTTGAAATAGTCAATATCAAGCTGTTCGATTTTTGTTTTTTGTTTTTTATTTTGAATATTCTTCTGGTGATTTGCTTCTTCAGCTCTTCAAAGGAATCTAAAGACAGCAAGACATCATCCAAAGATGACAAAGGTAATGGATTGTTTTCTGTTTTAATTTGATTACTCAGGGTTTTCTTTATTCATTTAATCCTTAATAACTGACAAAACTAAACTCAGTGGGTGTTGTATAAACTGGAATTGGAGCTTTCAGCAAACTTTTTGAAGCATTAAAATTTAATGTATCAGCTGAGATGAGTCTGCTGAAAACCGGTATGTTTTAACATTGTATTCTAAGTAGCTATTTGGACTTGAATGTAGATATTTTCTTTTCTTTCTTTATAAATTCAATAGCTTTTTTCTTTCATAGTCATTCAAAACCACTACATATCACCTCCCAGTTTCCCTATGCTGTTACTAATATTTGTGAAATACATATATATATATGTATATGGAGTTTGGTATTGAGAAGAAAAATCTGTGCCTACTGTGAGATTTTCATTCTTCAAATCGGCACACACTTCTTTTAACATAGCCAATATGTCATAGTTTCATCTTCAGAATTTACTTTCTAATTTGACCTGTTTGGGTTTGATGGAAGTGATGTAGCAAAACAGTTCTGATAGCTTAAAGGTAAACAATTTATTGCTTTTTGTTATTGGAGAGTCACTGATGATGTCATGGGATAATGAACGTCTGATTGTATCTTTATACAGTGCATATGTTGTCTACTTGAAAGATACTTGTTCCTAAAACTTATTTTAAGAGAACATAGCACCCTTTGGCTACTGCTGAGTTCTAAAATGTCTCATGAGTGTTGCTAGAAGGGGTGTCTCTGTGTCCTGTCATGGGCATTTTAAGATGTTTTTCACTCAACTGCCTTTTAGCCTGAGAAATTTTTGTGGGATCCCAGGTTACATGGGTATGTAAAATAGGTATGCGTATCAAACATTAACTGATCATGAATCATAAATTTATTTTAAAAGTTATGTATGGCTGGAGAGATGATAGTATAGAGGCTCTGCGTTTGCCTTGTACACAGCAAACTCAGTTCGATTCCGACACTGCGTAAGGTCCCTGAGCACATATACAGGAATAAGCCCTGAGCATCAAGATCAAGTCACGTCAAATCAGACTAGTCAGTTAGGCAACCATTTGGAATTGCAACCCATAGTTTCCAGGAGTGAGGCCTAGGCCAGAGAGAGCTCAGCAGGCTGAGCGCAGGCTCTACACGCATCCTAAGCACTGCTGTGTGTGCTCCCTGCCTCCCTGTGTATCCCCCACAGCAGAAACTAGGGTTTATAGTTTATCCTGCTGGTAAATTTTAGTGATGGATATAGTAACTGTTGATATGCTTACAGTTGTGGTTGGTTGTTAAGATTTTCTAAAAAATGTTAAATGTATTAAGTCTTGGCTAAGATGAACTTTTCCTGTTATTAAAAGAATTTTGGTTTTGGTTAGAGAAGGTAGTACCTGAACCCAGATGTTAAAAATTGTCACTTAGGCTGGAGTTATCGTACAGCGGGTAGGGCATTTGCCTTGCATGCAGCTGACCGGGGTTCAATCCCCAGCACCTCATATAATCTCCTGAGCACCTCCAGGAGTGATCCTCAAGCACAGAGACAGGACTTAAGCCCTGAGCACTGCCAGGTGTAGCCCAAAAGCAAAACAAAGATACATGTGATAGTTAACATTTCATAAGCTAAAACACTTCAATAGATACTTTTAAGAGTAGAAATACACAGTCCATTAGTTAAAATGAATCAGATATCTGTTGTATCATAAATTGATACTGACAGTTTTTCAACAAAAACTTGTGACAAATGTTAAAGTATTGAAAAATATGTTCTAAGTAGACATAATTTGGAGTTATAGAAATCATTACTATTAATTGCTTTGTACACTGTTCCTTTTAGACAAGGTAAGGAAAAGCATAAAATTCCCCTTTATAGCAATATATTTGAAGAAAAACACTAAAAGTGACAAACTAGAGTACTATATTCTAGGAACTGGCATCCTTCTATTTGAAACCATAATTTGTGGATGGAAGTTGTATAGGAGTGACTCACGTACCCATTTACTTAGTCTAAAGCATCTTCTTAAAATGGATGTACTTTAGAAGATCTTTTTAATTTTAAGGCCAGAATTACCTAGCTGCAACTGATTCCAGCATTCTGTTAACTGTTGTTTATAATAGAGAATGAAAATGACTGGTTGGTTAGTCTTTGTTATTAACCCTTAAATTCCTTTTTTATTTTGCTTTTTGGGTCACACCTGGCAATGCACAGTGGTTACTCCTGGCTCATGCACTCAGGAATCACTCCTGGCGGTGCTCGGGGAACCATATGGGATGCTGGGAATAGAACCTGGGTCAGTTGCATACAAGGCTACCACTGTGCTATCACTCCATCCCATAAATTCTTTTTTTTTTTTTTAAATTGAACACCATGAGACACAGTTGCAAAGTTGTTCATGATTGTAACCCTTATTTCTTGAAAATAGTTGATCCTGTCCCCTAACTTGTACCTCTCAAACTCCTGTTTCTCAGAATGTATAGCCCACAGCACGTGTGGGTTGGTACACTCCCAAACAATAGTTTTCATGGTCACTTAGATGCAGTGCTGTGGAAGAGTGTGGTTTATTAAACTTAGCAAACTCCAAGGCACAAAATTGCTTTCTTACACATTTTCACTCAAAATTTGTGCACCAAGATATGTATAAGTTGGTTCACACCTGCTTCCCCACAGGTTGTATTGTCTGTTACTATGTTTGATGGTGTGTGTGCATGCATGTGTGTGTGTGCACGCGTGCGTGCCTGTGTGTGTGCGCGCGCACCTATGCATATGTACTCTGAGATACCTTGAAGAAATGGTATAGGTAAAGGATGGTGTTGATACTTGATTGATCTTAATAGCCCATTCATGGAACTTGGTGTAATAAAGTTAAGGTGTCTAAATGAGTGAATTTTTCAATTTTGAAAGAAATTGGCCCTATATTTTTGTAAAAACTAATTCTAACCCAGAAAGTTCAATGTCTGGCATTGACTGTGTTCCAGGGAGTGCAGGCAGTGCCAGTGGCAGTGGTGGGAGCTCCACGAGGAATATCTGGGTCAGTGGGCTTTCTTCCAACACCAAAGCTGCTGACCTGAAGAACCTCTTTGGCAAATATGGAAAGGTACATTCTTACTCCTTTGATCTCTCTCGCATTTCCATTTGAAGTAAGGCTTGTATTCAAGGTAGCATTGTATAAAATCTTCTAGTTTCTTTTTTTTTCTTAGCACTGGTTAGGCCTGGTTTTGAAGGTCTGTGGTAAAAGGTGAGTTTGATTATTATTCTCATGACCCTTGGGAAGCCTTTTATGAAATAGCACAACTTCAACCCCTGGCAGCATATTTGTTTGCTGAGCACTAACGAGAGGTCTGGTCCAGTCACAGAACCAGGGAATCCTCCCCCCAATGAATCAGTAAATGAAAGTTTTATGCATAATGTGTGTGTGTGTGTGTGTGTGTGTGTGTGTGTGTATAAGTTTGTATGTATTTGTGTCTGTGGGGAATGGGACGGGAGGCTTGGAGCCATGCCTGATGGGATGCTCAGGTCTTACTCCTGGCTCTGCACTTAGGGATCATTTCCGGTGGGCTTGGGGAGACCATATGGGATGCCGGGTTTGAACCCAGTTGGCCACATATAAGCTCCCTACCCTCTGTACTGTCTCTGTGACCCCTAAGGGGCCACATTTAAATCCTTATTATTATTCACTTAATGGAGTGAATTTTAGTTATTACCTTTATCTTGATTTTTCTAGCACTTAGCTTTGTCACGGCTAATTTGATGAAACTGGGAAATACAGGTAGATGAGTATTAGGCAGTGGGATATAGAATTAGGGGAACAAAATAACTGATGTGGTCCCTGTTGTATAGATTTCAGGCAGAAGTAGAGAAAACAAAAACTTACACAGATAAAATCAGAAGTCATAATAGGCGCTCTGGAGGGAGTGCAGTTGCAGAGTTTGAGGGGAGAAACTTGCTACTGGGTCATGAGGAAAAGTTTTGTGGCACACAGGGAAAGCTGAGAGAGGAGAGCACTCAGGATTCTAGGAAACCCACTGGGTTGTCTGTATCCTTCGGGGCCCGTGGTCTTCTACCACACATTTGTTAGCTTTTAATCTGTGTCTTAACCTGCACCAATATAAACCTTTTTAGAGCAGGGACTTACACTACTATATTTTGTATGTACTTGCTTAGATATCTACTAAGTAATCAGTACCACACAGATGGTTAGATTTTAGGAGTCTTTAGAGAATTGTTGGAGCGTTAAGGTGATTCAGATTCGGGCCAGAGAAAGAAACATAGCGAGGAGTCCTTTACGGCCTCCCAGATGTCCCCCTGAGTGACTCCAGGAGTGCCCGGAGTGACTCCTGAGCACAGAGCCAGAAGTAAGGCCTGAGCATTGCCAGGTGTGGCCAAAAGCAAAAACACAAAAAGAATGAACTGTAGTTGTTTTTTTCTTCTTCTCTCTTTAGCCACTTATTGTTAGAACTTAAACAGTATTCATTTGGGGGGGGGGGGGGGGGGGAGGGATTCATACCCGGTGATGCACAGGGGTTACTCCTGGCTCTGCACTCAGGAATTACTTCTGGTGGTGCTCAGGGGACCATATGGGATGCTGGGGATCAAACCCAGGTTGGCTGCATGCAGGGCAAATGCCCTGCCTGCTGTGCTGATAACTCCAGTCCCAAAAACATTGTTCTTGGGGCCAGAGAATGGGTAGGTACTATGGGTAGGACGCTTGCCTTTGTTTGGCCACTCTGTTTAATTCCTGAACACCACTGGGAATGACCCTGGAGCACAGAGAAAGGAGTAATAAATCACAGTTGGGGCAAATTATCCTTTTTGAGGGTCAAGTTTCTACTCACTGCCATCATAAACAACCCTGTTTGCTTTTATCTGACATTGTTCCTTCCTTTTTCGTATGCTTATGTCCTCTTGCTTTCCTGCTTACTCGCCCCTGTTCCTACAGAATTGAGACTGTCTGCCACTTCTGCATACTGTCTGCATACTGGTGTATGCAGTAACACACACGTTCACTTTGGTTTTGGTTTTGGCAGTACAGAGATTGAGCCCAGGTCTCGTGCTTGCCAGGCCTGTGCTTTGCTGCTGAGCCTCATCCTTGGCTTGGCACAACTTTTCAGAGCTCCTTAGAATGAAATAATATTTAGATTGGGTTTTGTGTCATGATGTTGATTTTGATTTTTGGCAACCCTGGCTTGCTCTGAGGTCTTCGTCCTGGCAGTACTGGGGCACATAGTACTGGTGCTGCTATCAAACCATGGTTGGTGGCAGGCAGAGCAAGTGCACTAACCTTGTGTTCTCTCTCCAGCCCTAAGGTCTATTTGTAAGCCTGCAGTTTTCTCTTTTTCACCCAGAAGTGTTCCAGGGGCCTGGGCCTGGCTCCTGCATGCCAGAGCACCTGCTCCAGGTCTTTGAACTGTCTCCCTTGACTCTTTGGTTGCTTTTTCTGGTGTGGGAGGTGAATGGGGCCTCAAGGGGTGCTCTGGAGGGGCCAGCGTTGTTTATACAAGGTCCTGAAGCCTCTCCCTGGGCACAGGGGGCCTGTTGTGGAGGCCCTTGGCCTGGTGCTGGCTCTCTGGTCCATGGTTGCTCTTGGAAACACGGGCTTGGTATTTTAATTCAGTAGACTATTTTTGGGCCTATGAGATAGACATTTTTTGGTCCAAGTCTAATTGAAAATGTTATGTATCTGCTTTTGGAAATTATATATACACTAGTTACACCATTGCTTTGTTGATGTAACATTTTAGCCATATATTTGAAGGAAAGCAAAGAAAATAAGTTTTTGGCAGTTTGATTTATTCCCCTATATATTTTCCAAGTGCTTCTAATCATAACAGAAAATGTAATACAGGTTTTCAGTAGCAGAGATCCTAACTTTACCCTTCATTCTGAGTTTGTGTATCCTGAATATTTGAATGGAGTAGTTCCAGAACAGTGTTTCTCAGCCTTCCTTTGTTTCTGTTTTCCTCATGTATCTGTGCCGCACCTGCTGTGTGGTCTTCACCTCTGGCGTCCTTGGACTGCCTCGCCCGCAGTCCCTGTGTGAGGAGTGCTGATCTAAAGTCGACTCTTCTGTTACAGGTTCTGAGTGCAAAGGTGGTCACAAACGCCCGGAGTCCTGGCGCCAAGTGCTATGGCATTGTGACCGTGTCCTCCAGCACGGAGGTGTCCCGCTGCATTGCCCACCTCCATCGCACGGAGCTGCATGGACAGCTGATCTCTGTCGAAAAGGCAAGTATGCTGGGCTCTGGATGGTGACGAACGCCTCTAGTGTCAAGATGCCAGGGCCATAAAGATGGAACTTTGACAGTTTTTTTTTTCTACTCCCAACTTAAATCTTTCAGGTTAAAGGCGATCCTTCTAAGAAAGAATTGAAGAAAGAAAATGATGAAAAGATCAGTTCAAGATGTTCTGGAGACAAGAAAAATACAAGTGATAGAAGTAGCAAGTAAGAATGATTACTTTTGAAGCTACAGTTTTGGTACATTGATAAGGAAGTTCTCATTTTCTTTGTTTTCTTGTATGGGATGATGTGGTCAGGACGCAAGCGGCTGTCAAAAAAGAAGAGAAGAGGTTGTCTGAGAAATCTGAAAAGAAAGAAAGCAAGGATGCTAAGAAAATAGAAAATAAAGATGAGAAGAGTGATAGTGGAGCAACTGGCCAAACTTCAGAATCAGTGAAGAAAAGTGAAGACAAGAAGCGAATAAGTATGTTGTGCTTATTACTCTCCAACCCCCTCAAATGCAGTTCACTGTTAAGGTTTTTTACAGTGCAAAGGAAGAATTGAGCAGATAGTGGAGATGATTGTGTCACCTTTGGTGGTATAAGTCACTTTGGGGGAAGGAAGTTGGAAAAGAATGACATTCTACTTGTGGGCATCAAATACAGTTCTTCACTGTTAAGTCTGGATGGGCTTAAAACTGTCATTAATATGTAGCTATGGGGCCCTGGCGATAGTACAGCGGAGAGGGCGTTTGTTTTGCACACAGCCAACTGGGTTTGATCTCCGGCATCTCAGATGGTCCCTCAAGCATTGCTCAGAGTAATTCCTGAGCATCGCCAGGTGTGACCCAAGCATGAAAAAACAAATGTAGCTGAGTAGTTGAAGTGGTACATTTTGGTGTCACTGATGGTATTTATAGTTACAGATTGCGCTTCATTTGGAGGGGGCCGGGGGGCCAGTTCTGAATTGGGGGCTTTACCCTGAGAAGCGTGTGCTGCTCCTAGACCCCAGACTCAGCTTTTTCTTCTTTTTCTTTTCCTTTTTTTAAGAAAATGTTCATTTTCTCAAATGCTTCTGTTCCAGTTTTCAGCTTTTTCAGCCCACCCTGGTGGAACTTAGGGGACCATTTGGGGTACTGGGAATAGAACCTGGGTCAGGTATGTTCAAGGCAAGTGCCCTACCTGCTGTACTATTAAGCCCAGACTGAGCATTTTTAATTTAGCACTCTGTGTGTGTGTGTGTGTGTGTGTGTGTGTGTGTGTGTGTGTGTGTGTGTGTATTTTTTTACTTTTTGGGTCACACCTGGTGATGCTCAGGGGTTACTCCTGACTTTGCACTCAGGAATCATTACTGGCAGTGCTCAGGGAACCATATGGGATGCTGGGAATTGAACCCAGGTCAGCCACGTGGAAGGCAAATGCCCTACCCGCTTTGCTATTGCTCCAGCCCCAAGGTTTTTGTTTTTTGAGAGGGGTGCATACCTGTATACCCGTCGATGGTCAGGGCTTCCTCATGCTTATGAACTCAGGAATCATGTCTGGCAGTGCTCAGGGCACTCACAGGGTGCCAGGGAGTGAACCTGGATTGGGTGCGTGCAAGGCAAGCACCATACCCTCTGCATGGTCTTTTTGGCCCCTGGAGTTTGTATTTTTTCGCATACTTGCTCATCTAGGTTTTTCTTCTCTTAGGTTCAAAGAGTCCAGGACACATGGTGGTATTAGACCAGACTAAAGGAGATCACAGCAGACCATCCAGGAGAGGAAGACACGAGAAAGTAAGTCTCTGAGGAGGGTGCTGCCTGCTGCTCTGTGTGTTCCGAGAGAAGGTCATTCTCGGCCCGCAGCCGTTCTTGCTTGCTTCAGTAGTGGAAAATCAGAACAAAAGGACGTTCGTTACTTGCCTCATTTTCAGTGATTGGCTGATATTGAAAGACAAAATACCAAATAATTTTAACTTCTCATTTTCCCCTGTAGATTCATGGAAGAAGTAAAGAAAAAGAGAGAGCTAGCTTAGATAAAAAGAGGGACAAAGACTACAGAAGGAAAGATATCTTGCCTTTTGAAAAGATGAAGGAGCAAAGATTAAGAGAGCATTTAGTTCGTTTCGAGAGATTGCGACGAGCTATGGAACTTCGAAGGTAGGAAGAAAACTCTTTTGTACTGGTCTTTACTATTAGTATTAGGTGCATATTTATAGTAGTTACAAACCATGATTCTGAAACTCCCCCCCTCCCCCCCAGAAAACGATTTGCCAAAAAGTGCTGTAAAACTTAACAGTTTCTTCAGTTTGCATTGCATTTTAAACTTTACAGACTTAAGTGCTTATTCATTCTCTTCGTCTCGGCAGTCTGTTGTCTCTTAAGTAACTGGAAACCCTGTGGGCCCACGGAGCTGCCCAGCTCCTCCAGTGTCCACCCAGGGCTTGTGCAGCCGGGCTCAGACCATGTCTTCAGACTCAGAGTTCAGGCTCTGTCCTCATGCCAGAGCTGCCACTATAAAGATCATGCCTTCAAGGAAGTAACTCACTTTGAGATATGGTGGCACAGCGAAACTGCAGTGCTTTAATAGCAGGTGTAGAGAAGAACAGTGGTGCTTGGCTCCGAGCCCGGGTGAAGGAAGGTGTGTTCTGTGAGTGTCAGCACATCCCAGTTCTGACCCAGGCAGCCTGCTCTGAACATAGCACAGCAGCGTCGGTTTGGGGATGTTGCATAGGAGGTTCTTGCAAATGGAACTACCAGGAGTCCTTTTAACAGCATTTATCCATAACGTTATTCTGGTGACTTAAGAATCATCGTGCATTGCTCAGAATTCACTTCCTTGCCCTTTTGTGTGTGGAGTTGCAGAATGCGTTCTTCCCTTTCAAAGGGCAGCGGGAGTGGGGAGCTACTGAGCCCATCTTTCTCCTCACAAAGATATCTGTTGTGTTCAGGGACCCTCAGGCCAAGCGTTTTGGGTCCAGTGGCAAAGAACTCATGGTTCAATGAAGGTCCAGCCTGGCAATGCCCGGGGGCCACCAGGCCACCCCCTGTGTTACCAAGGAGGAAACTCAGGGCCATATGCACTGGTCAGCTGTGTGGCCTACCACTTGAATGATAACCCTGGCCCTCCAGCACCCCTTTTATCTTAAAGTTTCAGTGTACTTTTTTCTATCCTGAAATGAAGTTGATACCGAATATGCTGATAGTTACAAGTTCTGGAAAGTAAATACAAAAGAGAAACCTAATGTTAATGAAGCATATATTCCAGATATGAATGTTTAGGCTTGACTTCAGGAGATCTAACGAAATGCTCAGTGCTTGTTCCCCTCTCTAGACTCATGAGAATGTGACGGCCTCAAACACAGGCCGATACTAGAGCTGCAGGCCAGGGGCACTGCTGACATTATGACGGGGTTCGTGACACAGTGAACAACGCTTGAAATTTCTCAAGAAAGCAGAAATTTCCTAATCAGGTCAAAAAACTGAACCAATAATGCATTATAATGAGTTATCAAAAAAAAAAAGAAAGAAAAGAAAGAAAACCCACAAGAAAAAGGTTGTTAGTTTTACCTAGTTTTCTATGCTCTTCTGTATGTACACTTAGCCTATTGAGCTATATCTCTTCGGTCCTAACATCATACCTTTGAAACAATTCTATTACTGTTTTCAGTTTTTTGTTTATCAGAAAAAAAGAAGAAGAAAACCTTGAAAATTCTGAATGGATTGTTTTAGTTGTTTTGTAATTAGAAAAAACTTTGAACATCCTTTAATCTATGTAAACCAAATGTGTTAGGGCCCAGACTCAGGTGCTTTTTAAGCTGATTTGATTCATGTCGTTTTAATGTCTGAAGGTTCATGACAGAATTAGAGATATTCTAGGAAAGTTGAGCGCATTTTTTGTTTTGTGCAGGACTATCTTGGCTATTCTGTATAATGCCACCTGTTAAGAGTCCTTGGTTTCCACCACTAAATGCTTGTAATGGCCCCCCTGCCTATAATAATTAAGAATGCCCTGCAGTCTTCCTAGAGGCAGAGACAGTGAGAACAGTTGGTGGACAAAGGCTGCCTTAGAGTGAGGAAATAGTACAGACACACTTAAAATCATGTATGGTAATGTGATCAGTTTTTAAGTATTTTGAATAGCTATTGCCTCCTGTCTCAAAAAAGCATGCTTCCTTGACCCATCTCTTCCAGGCTGATGGACAAACCAAAGGGATCATTAAGGGCAGCTAAAGGTTACAAATTCAAGTCATCAAAAGAAGGCCGATTCGCTGAGGGCAGAAACAAGACACTAGATACTAAGACATTGCTCTTCCCAGAATGATAGAGTTATAGTTTTGTAAATTCACGTTTGCAGACTACCTCGTTTTTAAAATGTCAAATAATGAACTGTTACTATAGTTGGATTTTTATTTATACAGGAATCATAAAAAACTATCCTAAAATTTAGCTGTTCACTTGACAGTCTTAGTTACAATATTGCAGTGTTTAAAGTTTCATTTTGAGTTCTCTTTCACATGAAAACTACTTAGGTTGAGTTAAAATTTAAAATTGTGCCAGCCACAAGGAAAAATTCAAATTCAAAAAACTATTTTCTTTCACTCAGTGCTAGCATAATTTAAGTATTTCTAAATACTGGTTTTTGTTAGACGAAGAGAGCTTGCAGAAAGAGAGCGTCGAGAGCGAGAACGCATTAGAATAATTCGTGAACGGGAAGAACGGGAACGCTTACAGAGAGAGAGAGAGCGCCTAGAAATTGAAAGGCAAAAACTAGAGAGAGAGAGAATGGAACGCGAACGCTTGGAAAGGGAACGCATTCGTATTGAACAGGTGCAGTCAGAAAATCTTTTCCTCTTAAATAACTGACCTTTCCAAACCCTGTGACTTTTGCCCTAAAATCTGCTTTACTTGTTGTAAAGCATCTATAGAATGAGTTCAGCAATGAGCATTGATTGTCTCCGAAAGATAACAATGAATTAGAAACGAGTCAAAAATACAATTATTATTGATTTTGTGCTAGCCACTGGGTCATAATTCAAGTTCTGCAATATCATGGCAACTTGATAGTTGGAGCACAGGACTGTGAGTCCAGAGTAGCCATAATGCAAGCTGATGGTGTCTTTGCATTGCTGGTGGGAATGACCACCCTAGGCTGTAAGGAAACAGGCCTCTCTGTGGAATTGCTCCCCGGGGGTACAGGCACTTACCTAGTTAGTGACAATCGACTCTAGTTCCCTTGGGTGCTTTTGTTTCAGTCAAATGAGAAAGCTAATGGTGACTCCCAGTTTCAGCCTTTCCCCACCCAGTCTGTTCTCATGAATGTTGCCCAGCAAAAGCCCTCGGCTAGATAACTGATTTCTGAAATCACATGTGTTTGTCCCAGACACATGCTGGCCTGCTGCTTGCTATCACGGTTTCTTTTTTTTCCTCTTTTTTTTCTTTTGGATTTTGGGCCCCACCTGGCTGTGCTCAGGGATCACTCCTGGTGGGCTCAGGGGACCATATGGGATGCCAGGGATTGAACTCAGGGTGACCATGTGAAGGCAGATGTCCTACATGCTGTCCTGTTGGTCCATCCCATGTCCACCCTGTCCCCGTGTCCTGTCCCATTCCCCACCTCCCCCCATGGTTTCTGGCAGGGTTGTATGAGGTTGCCCGTGTACTCACCTCTGGTTTCCATTTTGCATTGGCGGGCTCTTCTTTCTGTGTTGCCTGAAGGAGCGGCGCAAGGAAGCGGAGCGCATTGCCCGGGAGCGGGAGGAGCTGAGGCGGCAGCAGCAGCAGCTGCGCTATGAGCAGGAGAAAAGGAACTCTCTGAAGCGCCCTCGGGACGTGGATCACAGGTAGTCTCTTGCTTCCTTCTGAGACAGTTCTCTGGCTCTCGAGTGCTGGCAAAGGGCCCTCGGCAAGTCTCTGGGTCGTGGTGATGGGTCAGCGCGGAGCAGAGTGAGCCCACAGTGTCACTGTGGAGGGCAAAGCTCTCTGATGTCAGGCACGCGGCCACGACAGACTTCACCCTCTATTCTCCAGCCAGGTCCAGTTTGAAGATTCTTCCAGGCTAGGACTGAGGGTTCAGAAATGGCTGTCATGATCTTAGGAATCGATTTGAGTAGTTACTTCATTTTCTTAGCATAACTTCTTGAGGTTTAGTTAGTAGAAAAATCACTGGAGTGGATGAGTTATATTTGGGATTTATCTCTGGTTTTCACAAAGTCAAATACAACTGAAAAATTGTCACACTTTAAGTTGAGTTGTATTATAGACTGCTGGTTAGAGTTTTGGTTTTAAATGGTATCAGATAACTCATTTTCTCTTCTTTATCACTTAATACTTTCTAAAAACAAGTTTTTCTTGGTTTTTTTTTTTGTTTGTTTTAATTTTTGGGTCACACTGGCAATGCACAGGATTTACTCCTAGCTCTGCACTCAGAAATTACTCCGGGCAGTGCTCGGGACAGTATCGAATGCTGGGAATCGAACCCGGGTCCGCCACGTGCAATTGCTATTGTTGTACTATTGCTCCAGCCCCCTAAAAACAATTTTTTACTATTTACTTAGCTATGATAACCTTCTAACACTCTAACTCAGTGTTAACTAGTAGTTGCTCTTCGTCTGTTCTCAGAGGAAGATGCTCAGTCTTGGGGAGTGCTCTGTGTCCTAGTTTGGGTTTGTGTGGCTCACGTCAGTGTTGCCTGATGATTGTACAGTGACATATATAAGCAGATGTTTCTTTTGAAGGCGAGATGATCCTTACTGGAACGAGAATAAGAAGTTGTCTCTAGATACAGATGCACGGTTTGGCCATGGATCTGACTATCGCCAGCAGAACCGATTCAGTGACTTTGATCACCGAGAGAGGAGCAGGTTTCCCGAGAGCTCCGTGCAGTCATCCTTTGACAGGTAGGCAGAGACGTTGGGGTTGTTGCCTCTGATGTATGAGCCTTTCTGGGGGCTGGGGATAAGCATGAATTTTTTTTTCTCCTTTTATGTTTTCTTTTGGGGACACACCCGGCAGTGCTCAGGGGCTACTCCTCGCTCTGTGCTCAGGGATCATGTGATTCCTAGCAGTGCTTGGCGGGGGATTGTGGGTTCTTGGGGACGGAACCTGGATTTGCTGTGTGGGAAAAGCTCCCTATCCACTGTGTTATTGCTCCGGCCCCTAAGTTTGATTTTCTAATGAAATCTTTGGTATTTTGAGTCAAAGCTGAATGTTGTGACAAATTATGTGTTTAACGTATTTGTATTAATTGGAATGTGATTTGTTAGTCAAAAATCAGTTGTGTTTGGCTACCATTGCATGCTCAAGAGTGTTACCTTCATCATCTTAACCCTTAAAGCTTGGAGCGAGGACTCTTGGTGTTGCCTCTGCCTCGAGTGTTAAGAACAGTGCGGCACCCTTGCCTTTGGCAGTGATTTGGGATGTGTTTTCTTTGTTTTGGGTCACCACTAGGAGAGAACGCTTTGTTGGTCAGAGTGAAGGGAAAAAGGCACGTCCTGCGCGCAGAGAAGATACTGGCTTTGAAAGGTACCCCAAAAGTTTCAGCGACTCCAGAAGAAGCGAACCTCCACCAAGAAATGAACTTAGAGAAACAGACCGGCGAGAAGTGCGAGGGGAGCGGGATGAGCGGAGGACAGTGATGATTCACGACCGGTCGGACATCCCGCACCCCCGGCACCCCCGGGATGCCCGGGACACTGGCCCCAACCCATCACGACCTGCAGCTTGGAAGAGTGAAGGCGCCATGTCCTCTGACAAACGGGAGGCCAGGTTGAGTGTTACTGTGTTTTTTGGGGAGTGGGGGTGGGCATATGTAATACTCAGGGGCTATCCCTGGTTCTGTGCTTGGGAACAGTCCCTGCATTGCTGAGGGATTTTGCAGTACCAGATCAAAGCTGGCTTCCTGCATGCAAAGCCTGAACCCCTCCCCAGGCTGCCTGCCTACAGGGATAACATGCATTTGAGTTAGTAAAGTCCCAGCATGTTTTGGTTTGTTTATGGGCCACACCTGGTAGGGCTCAGGAGTTCTGGGGATCAAACCAGCGTTGATTGTGTACAAGGCAAATCCTACACACTCCTTACCTGCTGTACCATCTCTTTGACCCCTAAAATTCCAGTATTTTGACCATGTGTTGGGTTTTGTTGGACAGGGTTGAGCGAGCAGAACGGTCTGGGAGAGAAGTATCAGGGCACGTGAGAGGAGGCCCCCCTGGCGCTCGAGGCAATGCTTCAGGCTATGGGAGCAGAGATGGAGACCGAGGGATCATCACCGATCGGGGAAGTGGGACACAGGTGAGTGTTTCTGAGAGTTCATGGGTGTGAGGTTCTTTTGAGGCTTCATTTGATGTGGCCTAGAATAATGGGAGGTGACTAGGAAGCTCATTTCTCCTAAAGACTTCTCAGACGTAGCTGGAGACTCAGTGGGCCTGATCAGTTGAATATTCCCCTTGTTCTTACTCTGCTGGTTGCATTTGCTGCGGAGAATTGGTTGCACTTGTTGCATTTGCAAGCAAATCTTCCTCCGCATGACTTTGTATGTTTTTTTTTGTTTAGTTTTCTTTTAAGACATTTTTCTGTTCGGGGGCCGTCCTGGGGGTGTGCTCAGTGGTTGCCCCTTGCCGTGCTGGGGAGACCCTGGGGTGCTGGGGCTTGTATCTGGCTCCGCTAGGTGGGGGGAGCTTTGCAGCTCGCTCTTGCCTGGGATTCTGACAGAAAACCAAATCCCCGTTGTCCTTTTCCCTTTGCTCCTGGTGCAGTGGTGGGCGATGCTCCCATGGGGATCGCCCACCTGGCCCAGGTGCCCGCAGCACGTCACACTCCTCCTCGTGACATGGCTTGTGCAGATATGGAGATGACACTGGGGGCAGAGCAGGGAAGGGCCCCAACAGCAGCTCTGCGGGGACTCTTCAGTGTGGCTGCGAGGCACTAGAGATTGAATACTTGGTTTTGGGCTTGCAGTGCAGTCACTGTGTCCTTGAGTTTGGCCAGACACAGGCTCTTGGGGCCTGTCTTTTTTCTTTTTTCTTTTCCTTTTTTAATTTTGGGTCACACCTACTGATGCCCAGGGCCTTACTCTACCTGGCTCTACACTCAGGCTCATCCTGGTGGTGCTGGGATGCTTTGTGGTGCTGTTGATGGAACCCCACTTAGATATATAGAAGGCTATAATCTCTCCCACCCCTCATCTCTGGTTTGTATTTGATGATGTACTAGTTTGGAATTTGTGTTTGGTTTGTTGTGAAGGAAGAGGCAGCTTGGGCCACACCCTGCCTGCCTGCCTGCCTGCCTGCCTGCCTGCCTGCCTGCCTGCCTGCCTGCCTGCCTGCCTGCCTGCCTGCCTTCCTTCCTTCCTTCCTTCCTTCCTTCCTTCCTCCCTTCCTTCCTCCCTCCCTCCCTCCCTCCCCCCCTCCCCCCCCACTCCCCTTCCCCCCTCCCTCCCCGTGAGAAAGTTACAAGCATTCGTGTTTGGGTTATAATCACACAATGATCAAACACCCATCCCTCCACCAGTGCACATTCCCACCAGCAATATCCCCGGTATATGCCCCCCCTTCCCACTCTCCCCTGCCTCCATGGCAGACAGTATTCCCCATACTCTGTTTACTTTTGGGCATTATGGTTTGCAATACAGACACTGAGAGGTCAGCATGTTTGTTCCATTATTTACTTTTGGCACAAATCTCCCATCCCAACAGATTCCTCCAGCCATCATTTTCTTAGTGATCCCTTCTCTATTCCGTCTGCCTTCTCTCTTCACTCATGAGGCAGGCTTCCAGCTATGGGGCAGTCCTCCTGGTCCTTGTATCTACTGCCCTTGGGTGTCAGCCTGATGTTATATTATTCTATACTCCACAAATGAGTGCAGTCCTTCCCTGTCTGTCCCTCTCTTTCTGACTTAGCTTGATACTCTCCATGTCTATCCACTTATAAGCAAATTTCATGACTTCATCTCTCCTGACAGCTGCATAGTATTCCATTGTGTAAATATATCAAAGTTTCTTAACCAGTCATCAGTTGTAAGGTACTTGGGTTGTTTCCAGATTTTGGCTATTGTCAACAGTGCTGCAATGAACATATAGGTACAGATGTCATTTCTACTGTGCTTTTTTGCATCCTCGGGATATATTCCCAGAAGTGGTATTGTGCAGTCATTTGGAAACTCAATTTCTAGTTTTTGAAGGACTGTCCATATTGTTTTCCAGAAAGGCCAGCCTTGCTTTAGCCCTGTATGACTCTCCACCCCATATGCTGGGTTTTTGTAGCATATTTTTACTAGAAAAAATTTCAATTTTTGCATTCTTGATTGTACCACTGCATGCATGCTTGTCCAGACCATTTCTGAAAAAAAAAAAAAATTGAGCCTGGTAGTATTGTGAATTTTAGTATTACTTTTTTTTTCTTTGCGTGCTTAGGGCCTGGGCAGTACATGCAAAGCCCATGCTGGCCTCCTCCTGTGCTCCAGCCCTCTGAGCACCGCCCCAGCCTGATTGAAGTGTTTCTCAGTAGAAATGTTTGCTAGAGCTGTTCTTTGAGTTGTTCATTTACCCGGAACAGTGTTTGCGACTGGACCTGTAATCAGAATATTCTTTCACAATAGACTTTAAGGCAGTTGCATAGATTTCTGATTCCTTTTTTCCTCCCTTGGACATTTTGTGTTTTGGGTGCTGGAGAGAGTTAGCATGATGGGCCTTACAAAGTCCTCACCTGGATTTGATCCCTGACACCACATATGGTCCCCTGAGCACTACCAGTTATGGCCTCTTCTTAGCTGTCTCCCCTCTCCCCAAAAAAACCCCAAGGAAATTCTGGTATTCATAGTTTGTAAGTCGTTATTCTGTGGGTAATTTATCTTTGTAGATCTCCGTCTTTGCTTTCTGTCAGCTAAGTATCCTTCCTTTTTTTTTTTCTTTCTCTAGATGCTTTGATCTGTAGATTTTGTTTATGTTTACTGCTGATTGAGTCATGGTTGTGTGGGACTTTGTTAGAGTTGTGTTTCTAGTACAATGTAAAAGAACAAGGGCTGTTTCCGCTTCTTGTTTCCATGGTGATCATTTTATCTCTCCTGATTTCTTTTAAGGTTTGATCTCTCATTGTATCTTCTTACATATCTTCGTAGAGCAACTTATGACTAGACTCAGGCATTGTATAGATAACCTTGATGTAGCGATAGCATAGCAGGTAGGGCGTTTGCCTTGCACATGGCTGACCCAGGTTCGATTCCTCTGTCCCTCTCGGAGAGCCCAGAAAGTATTCCGAGAGTATTCCATCTGCTTAGCAAAGCCTGGCAAGCTCCCCGTGACGTATTCAATATGCCAAACACAGTAACAAGTCTCACAATGGAGACGTTACTGGTGCCCGCTCGAGGAAATTGATGAACAACGGGAGGACAGTGCAGTGCTACAGTGCAGTAGAAATATTTAGGACTGTGAAATTCTGGGTATTAATAAAAGATATCACTGTACCACTGTCTTCTCGTTGTTCGTTGGATTTACTGTAAGGAAAGGTCTCCAGCCTGGACAAATGCCCGGAGGCCGAGGGTGAGATCACTTCTCTCTCTCTCTCCAGCACTATCCCGAGGAGCGCCATGTGGTAGAGCGGCACGGTCGGGACACAAGTGGACCAAGGAAAGAGTGGCATGGACCACCCTCGCAGGGGCCCAGCTACCATGACACGCGGCGGATGGGCGATGGCCGGTCAGGGGTGGGGATGATGACCCAGCACGGAAGGTGAGTTGGACGCCGTGGCTTCCTGGCGAGACTCTCCCACTACCCTATTTGGCCCCCTCATGTGCTTCCTGAGCACCACCAGGCGTGACTCCCCTAAAACAAAGCAAAATCCTAAACTTCTCCAGCAGGGCCGCAGCCCCTGGCAGGGATATGGCCTGGCTCCTGGGAGGCCCTGGTGGAACCACCAGCATGTACCCTTTCTCCTTTCTTAAAAGTCAGTACGGAGGCCACGAGTGTGACTATGGCAACAGTGCATTCCCTGCTCATTACAACTTCTGAGACCTTGAACCACAGTGAGGAACAGCCCTGACCCTGCTCAGAATCTCCAAGCCAAGGAGCACCTAGCAGAATGAGTGCTGGGGAGCCCGGGCCGAGCTTGGTAGTCGGCATCCGTGGGCGCTGGGGTTAGCACTTTCTAGGCTAGCCCATGTCTAAGACTATTGGCCTTCCAGCTGACATAGAGAAAAGCTCATTCATAGGTCAGATTTGGTGGGTGGGCCATTAATGGGGTAATTTATTTATTTATGAATTTTTGGTTGCTGTTGTTGGTTTTGGGCTGCACTCAGCAGTGCTGAGGACATATTCCTGACTCCATGCTCAGTGGTCACTCCTGGCAGAGCTCTGGAGACCATATGGGGAGTGGGGGACCAGTCCCTGGCTTTTTGGAAAGGAAACTCCCTGTCACTGTACTTTTTCATATTAATGTACTTGTTTAATATAAAATCTATTCTCCCCCCCGCCCCCTTCCCTTCAACAGTTGTTTTCTGTTCCTGACTCTAGGTGGTGCCTGTACATAGGCCTTGGCTTCAGTGTCCCAGCAGACTCGTTCCCCTTCCGGTTTTCAGTGCTTATGGGGGAGGCGGGTGCTAGGGTCAGGCCTGGGGCTGGGGAGGCAGCGTGCCCTCCCTTCTGCTTCCTGTCAGGAGCCTCCGTGGTGCAGTTCTCGCACTCGCTTGCTTTTCTGGCCTGCTGGTGCCTCCTGCAGCTCCTTGCCAGCCGGGCTGGAAGAACGGCTCGTAGCACTCATCCCCAGCAGGTGTTTCAGGGTTTGCAGTGTACCTGGCCACTGTGCATTTTCACTTCAGCTCCTTCACGGTGCTGGGATTGGCCTCACACGTGCAAGATGGGTGCTGTACCACTGAGCGGCATCCCTCCCTGTGTTCGGTGACTGTCTCGTGCTACCCTCTACTTACTCCAAAACCACAAGCAGTTTCTCTGCTTCTCTGTTTGGGGGCCACACCTGGTAATGCTCAAAGCTTCCCCTGGCTCTGCATTCAGACATCATTCCCAGTAGGGTTCGGGGACCATGTGTGATGCTGGGGATCAAAGCCGGCATCTGTGTGCATGGCAAATGCCCTCCACTGTAGGTATCGCTCAGGGCTCATCGCAGCTTCTCTGGCTCACGGGATCCAGGGGACTCTGCCTTCAGGCTGGGTGCTCCACACCATGACTCAACTCTAGTTAAACCATTTCACTGTTTTTCCCATCGATACCTCCTGTGTTGCATTTTACATATAAGGAAATCCAGGGTCTATCCTGGCATTCCATATGGTCCCCCAGACACCTCCAGGAGTATTTCCTGAGTGCAGAGCCAGTAGTAACCCCTGAGCATTTCCAGGTGTAGCCCAGAAGAAAATCCAGAAATAGTTCTGGGGTGGCGTCATCCCTGGTCAGCGAGTGGGGGTCACCTGGTACCCGTCACTTCAGTGGGACACGCACCGGGCGCTGGCACTGGGGCCATGCTTGGGAGTTCTCTGTTCTCTGACTTTGCTTTCTCTAAACCTTCTTTCCAGCAATGCATCCCCAATCAATAGAATTGTACAGATCAGTGGCAATTCCATGCCGAGAGGGAGCAGCTCCGGATTTAAGCCATTTAAAGGCGGACCTCCACGGCGATTCTGAAAAGAGCTCATTGCCGTGGTTCAAGTTAATTTATTGAAATCTTCTATGAACTTGATTGACTACTTACCAAGAGGACCTCTGGCTTGCTTGAGAGTTTGTCAGACTTTTTTTTCTTTTTTTTTTTTAACATGATTTTCTCAATTTTGGAGAAGATGTTTAAATAGTTCTGTTGTAACCTTTAATAGTTTTGTGTATCATTCGGCTTTTTATCTCGCAGAACTGAGACACATTTGAAAAGATTGGAATCCAAACCATTTTGTTTAATGCTGTGTGAATATAAAGAGTAGTTCCCAACCGTGCGATAGTAGTTTGATTTGCAGCATTAGCTTTGTGGTATCTGGCCCTGGAATTCTTCTCTCCAAGGTTGTCAGCCTCCATTTTGAAGGCTGTCCCAACTTCAAAGGTCTTCTGTCTTAATTTTTAGAGAATAAGATTGTTCCTTGCATTTCTGAGTATTATGTAACCTATTTTTGCAGAAGGTACTGTTACATTAAGTGCATCTGTGTATCCTGGTTTTAAAAAAAATGTACTCTTTTTTGAAATAAACCTTCATATTCTGTATAGCTGCTGAAGCGTTGGGAACCTTTTTAATTGTAAACGGAAACCGATGTTGAGTGCAGTGGCACACTTGTTCCGCTCTGCGCGGCCTGGCCAGGGTGCTTGGCGGAACCTTGGCCAGGAGTCTTGTGCCCGAGGCCCTTAGACCAAGTGGTGCAGGTAAGTGCACTTTTAGGTCGGCTGTACTATTCGATGGGAAATTCCAACTCTCGGAATTGTGTGGGTATTAATGTTTCCATGTTCCCAACTATGTTGAGAAGTGGAAAAAAAAAACCCAGGTTCTGAATTGGTGAATCAGTTGGGTTTTGTAAATACTTGTATGTGGGAAGGCATTGTTGTCTCTTTATGAAAATAAAAATCCGCACTTGGAAGTGTGTGTGTCTTTGCTTCCAGCTGTTGGGTCTTTGCCCTCCTGGGCCCTGGGGCGGGCAGGGCGGGCAGGCGGTCCGGGCTCCTGGCCTCTGTTGGAGTGTTGAAGCCCTTCTTACTGCCTTGCTTTTCTTTCAAGGTCTCTTTTCCCAGGAGCTCCTTCAGGTAACATCGGAAGGTTGCCTTTGACTTTGTTCCTGGGAGATTTGAGGGTCCCATCGGCATTGTCAGGAATCTGCTTCCAGCTGGGTGTTAGTCATCTCTGTGAGTGGTTCCCTGCAGTCTGGCTTCTGCCCACAGAGAATGTGCTCTATCCATTGGGCCATCACTCCTGAAAATCCCCTTTCTCACAGCAGGGCGGGACACATCCTCAGAGTCACTTGTTCTGGCTTGACCACAGTTAATACAGTGTAGCACTGAAATGACTGAAGATAGCATGTCACTTTCACTGTCACTGTCCTCCCGTTGTTCATTGATTTGCTCAAGCGGGCCCAGTAACGTCTCCATTATGACACTTGTTATTGTGTTTGGCATATCAAATACGTCACGGGTAGCTTGCTAGGCTTTGCCGTGGGTGCAAGATACTCTCGGTAGCTTGCCAGGCTCTCCGAGAGGGGTGGAAGAATCGAACTTGGGTTGGCCATGTTGGCTGCGTGCAAGGCAAATACCCTACCCGCTGTGCTAGAAGATAGCATAGCCGGTGTAAAATAGGCAGATGGGAGCCTGAGGAGACAGTGCAGCAGGTAGGGTGCTTGCACATGGCCAGCCTGAGTTCAGTTCTCAGTACTGCGTATGGTCTGAGCTCCACCAGGAATGATCCCAGACTGCACACAGTTCTAGGTGTGCCCCCTCCCCCCAAAAAAACACTCAAATGGCCAGAGACCCATAAAAACTTTTCTTAGTCCTGTTTAAAACTTCCCATATTGCTTCATGTAAATCAGTGATGAATAATGCAGGTGATCTAGATTTTTAGGATAAATTTAGCCTCGTGACAGATGGGCTGGGCTGGAACCCGGGTGGAAGCTGATGGCATAGGAGAGGCCTGGCACGGAAGGCTGGAAGCCAGCATGGGCGTGAGGGGTGCTCTGAGACTTCCCCACCCCTGCTTCAGGAGAGGTGGCACCCCAGCCCGTGGGATGTGCTGTGGTTTCTGGCCTTCCGGAACCTGTTGCTGGTGAACTACTCCAGGGCCTCTGGCGGGCTGCAGAAGTCCCAGAGTTAATGTTCATCAGCTGGGTGACCTGGGGGCCCCATGTCACCCTTGTCTTTTTCCTCACTTCGAGGGTGAGGCTGTATTTAACCGCAAGCACTGGAGTGCTGGGCTGGGGGCGAAGTGTCAGTTGGCCTCCTGATGGGGGAGGGGAGTGCTGAATGGATTCATCCCCACTCGGCCTGAAGCCACGGTGACAGTGAGGGTCCTTTCCTGCTGTTCAGGCATCCAGGGCATGCTTGGTCTCCCGCTGCCCTGCTGCTGCTGCATCCAGAGTCCAGCCGGGCGGGAGCGCCTGTGGATCTCAGCCCTGTGTGCATCAGGGTGGGCAGGTTCATCGAGTCACTTTGTGCAAACCCACCTGGCTCCGGGGCAGTATTGAGATCCAAGGGAAGCTGGGCTTGTCTAGGCCAAGAGAAGGGAGGAAAGGGGCTGGAGCGATAGCACAGCGGGTAGGGTGTTTGCCTTGCACGCGGCCGACCGGGTTCAATTCCCAGCATCCCATATGGTCTCCTGAGCACTGCCAGGAGTGATTCCTGAGTGAAGAGCCAGGAGGAACCCCTGTGCATCGCCGGGTGCGACCCAAAAAGGAAAAAAAAAACTGACCATAATTCCGGGACTAGAGATAGTACAACAGCTAAGGTGCTTGTCTGACATGTTTCCAACCCTAGTTTGACCCCCCTACCACATCCAGTCGTCCCTCCCTCCCTGCCCTCTTCCCCTCCCCCCCCGCACACAGAAAAAGAAAAGACCAATCTTAACCAGTTGGGCAAGGCATGAAGTCGGGAAGTCTACATGCTAAAAATAATTGAAAGAGGCTAGAGACGTGGTACGAGGGTAAGGCACTCTGTGACCATGGTTTGATCCCCAGCACCCCGTGTGGTTTCCTGAGCACCTCCAGAAGTGATGCCCGAGCAATCGGGAGTCAGCCCTGTGCACCACAAGGTATGACCCAGCCCTCCCTAGGGAAAAGAAAAATCTACCCCCCTCCCCCCTGTAAAGCTTTAGAAATGAAAAAGGAAAAATATACAAACTCATAAAGGTGTCAGGAATATGGGCTGAAGGGCTGGAGCAGAGACTTTCTTTGCAGGACCCCCTGACTGACCCGCAGCACTGCAGGGAGTGACCCCTGAGCACCCTCAAATGCTGCCACAAGCAAATATGAAAAAGAGCATAAAGGTTGGCTTTTGGTGTTTCATTTTTTTGTTTTTGGCGGGGGTAGGGAATGGGCACAGAGGTGCTCAGGGCTTAGTCCCAGCTCTGCACTCATGAATTAATCCTGGCAGGAGTACCTCTGGGATGACTAGGATTGAACCCAGACCAGCCGTGTGCAAGGCCTTACCCACTGTGCTCTCACCTGTCCCAAAGTTCTTACCTTTGTGTGTCTTGCTAGACTGCCGCTTTTCAGTTCCTTCATACTGAAGCCCGGCAGACACTGAATCCTTCCTGGGAAAATGTCCTTGACTATGTGTTGGTAAAGCATCTCCTCTCGGCCTGGAGTCTGTGGCCTTTAAAGTGGCCAACCTGGCTTTGATCCCAGCACCCTACTCGCCAGTAATGATCCTTGAGCACCACCACCTGTTTCCTCTCACTTGGTTGTATTTTTGTAGTTTCTATCAAGTTTGTTCTTTTTCACCTATTGCTTTATTTTGGGATTGATTATTACCAGCCAACATGCTGCTGCTTTTGACTTAAGACAGCCTTGTTTTCTGAAACCCTTCAGTGCTTCCTCTTAAAATGAGCTTCTGTTTTTATTTTTTATTTTTCTTTTGTGGAAGGGCACACCCAATGATGCTCAGGGATTATTCATGGCTCTGTGCTTAAAAGTCACTCCTGGTGGGGTTGGGGACCATACAGGGTTCTGGGGATTGAATGTGAGTCTGCAAGGCACTACTTGCTAAGGTCCTACCCCGCTATATTGTGGCTCCAGCCCCCTTCTTTTCTTTCTCTCGTATAACTTGGGCTACAGGGTCAGGTGTCGTACAGCCGATTTTCACCCAGATTTCCTTCAATCAAGCCCTCTTTAATTTGCTGCCAATCAGGCCATCTATGTTTTTCTCTCCCCGGCTTTCATCCCCCTCGTCCTCTCCGCCTCCTGTGAGACAGCCCCAGCGTGTGCAGTGATCCCTTCTCTCGCCTCTGCCTTAGCAGTTGCTTGGCCTCTTCCCATCTCCCGACTTCAGTGCACAGCTCTGACCTTTGTGCTTGAGGACACCCTAACCTGGAATGCCCACCCCCAGATCTGAGAATCTCATTTCCGGTCTTCATTAGCTCATCCATCTGCACTGATGCCCTTCCTGCCATTGAAATCTCAGTGTTCCTTCCCCCTGCACTGGACAGATGTGTACCTGTCTGTCACCAGTTGGATTTAAGTTGCAGGAGAACAGCCATTTGTGGGGGTTTGTTGTGTGTGTGTGTGTGTGTGTGTGTGTGTGTGCTCGCGCACACGTGCATGGCTGTTCCCATATCCCAGCACTTGACGCAGAGTAGCCCTCATTAAGGATTTGCTGAATAACCGTGTCCAGAAATGAACACTCACAGTGGAAGCTAAGGGGCAACGATCTGATTGGGACTCTGTGCTTTGTCTAAAAATTGCTTTGGGGGCTGGAGAGATAGCACAGTGGGTAGGGCGTTTGCCTTGCATGCGGCCTACACGGGTTCAATTCCCAGCATCCCATATGGTCCCCTGAGCACCGCCAGGAGTGACCCCTGAGTGCAGAGCCAGGAGTAACCCCTGTGCATCGCCAGGTGTGACCCATAAAGCAAAAATAAATAAATAAAAATTGCTTTGGTGTAGGAAATGCTCTGTCATAAGAGTGAATGACAGAGTAGATGGTGAGAATTGGGTTAAGGGCTTGATGAGTGTCTACAGCTGCCCTCAGGTATCCTTGGGGACACTGTCTAGTAAGAGATGGGAACAATATTCCCTAAGCCGTGGTGAGGTTAACTGTCCGCTTCAGGCCTGAATTCACTCCGAAAGTTCTGTTTGCTCTCAACCCGTGTTCCAAAGGATGCATTTTCCTCCCCACTTGAATTTGCCAACAGGGTGAGCAAACACGTTTTGAAATTGGCATGGTAGTTACTGGTGTATTTGTGATGATCCACTGAACTTTTCCGTTGAGCCTAGTTATCAGATGACTGGAGGCTGCTGCCGGGCTGGCTGGTCTACACTGCAGGACCTGGCCTGATCTGGGGTGAGCAGTGCCACGTACTCGAGGTGGGTTCCAGACGTGTGGTCGGCATGTGCTGCTGCATAGGGTTGAGGTGGGAGCATGTGGAATACAGAACATTTGTTCATCTAACAGACTCGGCCTTGGGCTAGAGAGATACAGAGGGTTGTTTGCTTGCCTCACACGTGACCAATCTGGATTCAATCCTGAGCACCCTATATGGTAACTCAACTCCAGAAGTGTTCCCTGAGCACAGAACCATGAGGTAGCCCTGAACACTGCCAGATGTGGCTCAAAAAGAAAATTTTTTAAAAAATTTTTTATTTGGGGCCGGGATAGGACAGTGGGTAAGGTTCTTCCTTTGCCTGCAGGGTTCAATTTCCAGTACCCCAGAGGATCCCCTTAGCCCTGCTAGGGGTGATCCAGGAGCACAGAGCCAGGAGTAAGTCCTGAGCACCACCAGGGTGGCCCCAAAACCAAAAAAATGCATAAAAAATCAAACTTACTAATTATACTGTGCACACACTGTAAGTGTATTGTTTAATGAGATTTGACAGATGTATACACCCAATGAACACTATCACCTCCGAGATGCAGAGCATTCCTGTCTGGGAAAGCGTTC